CTGCCCGCTCTGCCGCAGCAGCTCCAGGCTCGACATCAGCGCCGCCCCCTCCAGCGGCAGAGTGGCCACTACGAGCCCACAGGTGCCGATGAGAGTCACCTTGGCACGGAAGGGGGGAGACGAGGACAAGGACGAGGACGAGGACGAGGGCGAGAGACAGAAAAGCCAAGCCGAGGACGGCATCAACGCGAAAGCTGCCCACAAGGAGCTGCCCCGAACTGCGCGCTTGTGGATGTCTGTCCTCGGCCAGGGCACTCGAAGGCGGCCCGAGCCGCGGACAGCAAAAAGCACACGACGTCGGCGGTACGGCCCCGCGGCGAGCAGCGGCGGTCGCGCGGCGGGTGCCCGGCGGGAGCGCGCCGGGGGGCCGCCGAAGGGCCCCCGCAACGCCAGGGCCATGGGCGGCGGCACTGCAGCTCTCGGCGCTGCGGCGCTGCGATCGGCGCTGCGGCGCTGCGATCGGCGGCGGCGGATGCCGAGGCACGGGCGGGAGGGGGCAGAAAGAGCGGCAGCGGGAGGGCCAGAGGGGTCGCCGGGAAGGGATCTGAGCCGCGCGCGCCTAAGCGCCGTGCATTGAAGAAGATGCTGGTGTCGTCGAGCTCCCTGGGAGGCTCAACTAGCATGCGCCCTGTGGACCCTGCTACGTGTTCATGGACATTTGCAGTACTACACTTCGCCCACTGTGCAGGCCCGCCAACGTCGAATGTTCCAGTAGATGAGGTCATGCCCCTCAACGTGCTCATCATAACTAACTCTTCTCCAATCCTCCACCTGTGCCATGGCTTCCTCCTCATCCTCATCCTGCTCCTGCTCTTCCTCATCCTCCTCATCATCATCATCCTCAGCAGCATCATCATTACCAGCAACAACAATAATGACAACAACAGCAACAACAACAACAACAGCAACAGCAACAACGATCATTGCAAGGCTGTTCACTCATACCTACTCGCGTGCCATTCAACACGTATATCTCAAACCCTCGATACCCGCCCTCTTCGTCTTCGATCGTACCCCCTTGGGGGCATATCTTTCTTACCTGCCACGTGTAATTTGCGCAGCCCCTAAAACAGGGGAAGGGAGGATGGCTAGAAGGAGGAGGGAGAAGGATGGAGCACGAGAGAAATTAGCAGGAGGGGGGCTAGGAGCAGGAACCACATGGCAGAACCAGACAGGCTGATCGGGCGGGTAGACCCTAACGGGCGGGTCGGGAAGGCGGGCCCACGTGGCCAGGTCGAGCAGGGGGGTTGCTGAAGTGTGAGTCCTGCATGAGTCGAGAGGTACTCTCGAGCGATAGCGCGATTCCCAAGTAAGTCGCGAGAAAGCCCAAAGCGAGAGCGTGATTCCTTGAGTGTCGAGGGCGCGGCGCCTGAACAAATTGCCAGGAAGTCCCACGCGAGAGCGCGATTCTGAATAAATTGTGAGGCAGTCCCGCGCGAAAGCACGATTTGGGAATACCTTGTGAGGAAGTATCAGACAAGAGCCGTTATTGTTGTAGCCCAGGGACCAGGGGCGCAGTTTGAGGAGGAATCTTTTGTCTTATAAAAACCGGATGCAAGCCCCGCGAGGGGCACTTCAATTGAAAACACGCACATGTTACTGGAAGGGGTGATCAACCATACTTATTCTTTAGAAATGCGAAACCAACAACAGCAACAAGAACACCAGCAGCAACAACAACAACAACGACAACAACAACAACAACGACTGCCACAACAACATTAACATCTGCCTTCATCTTCATCTTCAGCTTCACCGTCATCGTCGTCGTCGTGGTTGTGGTCGTCGTGGTCGTCGTCGTGGTCGTCGTCGTCGTCGACGTGGTCGTGGTCGTGGTCGTGATCGTCGTCGTCGTCGCCGCCGCCGCTGTCGTCTTCGTCGTCACACTCGTCATCAGCATCATCAGCATCATCCAAAGGCACCGCATCACACACAGCCTCTATACCCTCTGATGCCCATCCTCATCAGAATCCTCATGTTCATCCCTATCCTCCTCCTCCTCCTCCTTAGATCCCTCGTCCTCCTCCTCCTCATCATATTCCTCCTGCTCCCTCTTCTCATCGTGCCCCTCCTCCTCATCTCTCTCACTCTCTCTTCCTTTGCGATCCTCCTCCCTTTCGCCCGTATCACCTCCCCCCACGCCGGTGCTGCGCATCGAACACTTCAGACGTCAGGTCTCGCAAGGGAATGCGCAAGAGGAGGACGAAGAGGAAGAAGAGCGAGGGTCAGGAGGAGGACATCAGAACATCAGGGCATGCGACAACGAAAGTCGACTGGGAAACGGACGCAGGTCGACCTAGCTCTGCAATTCGGCAAAGCCTGCAGCACACACCGAATTCGGCGGGCGGCCCACTCGGACAGGGGGCAACATCCACGTGCGATCCGAGCTAACTTCTGGTGCTCATTCTCTGTAGGAGCCACGCGGGCACAGATGGCATAAGGAGGACGAAGAGGAGAAGGAAGAGGAGGGAAAGAGTCAAGACCTCACGATGAGTAGAATGAGTAGGAAAAGGATGAGAAATCTTGGGAGGACACGGTACAGCACAAGCGCGGGGGGGAGGATGCGAAGAGCGAATGGACGGAGAGAGCAGGTGGAGAGGGAGGAGGGAGAGATGCGAGAGATATGATGGGGAGTAGGAGCAGAAGGAGGAGGACGAGAAAGCCCTGAAGTCCATGAATGCATACAGTTCAATGGTTTCGCGTTTGACGCAAAGTTGTCGGGTAGGCGTTTGATGCCACCCATGAGGTGTGGGCCAGGGGCATGGTGCCCATGCCTCGAAATGTGGTGGACTATGGTGTCCTTCCTTGCCCACCCCGCCCCGCACACAGGTAACTTGCACCCTCCCCATCTTGTTGGAGGAATGAGTCTGCGGGCCGCATCCCCCCGATGTCGCACGTGCCACGTCCACGTCAGGCGTGGTGGGGATCACTTTCAAAAAGAATAGCTGCTCTTGTTGAAAACACAAAGTGAGCGGTGTCCATCCCTTCCTTTCCCCTCCCGCATCCTCGTGCACCACAAAGTGCAAATAGGAGATCGACATATGAGCTGGTCAGATGCAGCAGGGCCCGGGCTGATTGGTGCCCCTCCCTTGGATGGGGAGCCCGATGGTGGCTCCCCTCGCGGTGGGAGCGCTCAGCCCCATGGTGGCTGATGCTGACCTCCCTCGGCCAGGTCCTGCGGTGACCCCGGTTCCATGACCGCGGCCGCGCTCTATGCTGGCTGCGGTGTCGCCGAGAATCTTCCTGTCGGCCCAGCATCGCGGCGGCAGATGGCTGTCCACGTCGGCGTCGGAGCAGGCCAGCCGCTAGGCAGACTTGCACGTCTCTCGCGGGCGAGATGGGGCGAGGGAGGCAGGCGAGGACAAAGACGAGAGAGGCAGGAGAAAACAGCACAAGGGGCAAGAAAGCAAAGGAGGAAGACTCCCGCCCAGAACGCACCCTCCCCCTCCAGCTGAATTCCATGAGCTCACTGAAGTCGATGCTGGGCACTCCACGGCTGGTTGGGGACAGAAGCACCGTTCACGATCCAATCAGAGGAAGCTTTGAAGTCCATGAGTGCATGCAGTTTTATGGTTTAGCACTTGAACAGAGGAGGAGAAGGAGGAGGAGGAGAAGGAGGCGGAGGAGGGCTTCCTCTCCTCCTCCTCCTCCTCCTCCTCCTCCTCCTCCTCCTCCTCCTCCTCCTCCTCTTCTTCTTTTTTACGTTGACCAAACCTGAATCCTACGATCGTGGCGTTCATATTTATATACTAGAACTATCGCGCGCTTCGCGCGCGCTTAGGTTCTAGCTGGTCGAGTGCTGACCGCATTGAGACAACAAGCCGGTCATGAATAACGAGGTCAACATTCTCTGTTTCCTCCTGCCCCTTCCTCATTCCTCCTCCTCCTCCGCTCTCATCGACTGGTCGACCAGTGATCTGTCGCCAAGCTGTGGGCCAGGATAAATGCAGCGCTACAGCGCCATGTTGCACTATGCTATGGAATGCCATGAAACACCATGCTACGCTATAAAGGACAATGACACTATGCAGTATGCAATGCAACAGCATGAGATACCCTTCAGTGCGCAGTGCATGCCATGCCATGCTGTGCTGTGAAATGTGATGGAAATATATGAAATGATACGCTGAGCCATACCATGCGATGCTTCCTACGAATGGCGATGCTACCGCGTTACATGGTATGCACAAACACGGCATACCGGGATACCGTACTAGGCAATGCAATGTAATACTATGCCATGTCATGAGCTGCTAGGCTAAACTAAACAGGACCACAGTAAGAGCAACAACGGGGGTGTGATATGTACATGATGTAAGTATATTGTTGCGCAGATCAGTACGGTGCTGTTCGATTACCTTATGCGCATTGGAATACCATAGTACGCCACGAGGTGTCCTGAGATGCAAAGCCATGCTAGGCAATGTTACGTCGTGACGTGCACTGCTAGGCTCAGCTAGACACTGCTGTGGAATGCAATGCCATGGCATGCTTAACCGTACTGTGATATGCACTGACACGGTTAGCTCTGCCGTGCTGTGCCGTGCCGTGCCATGTCATGCAACGCTGCGATGCCACGATAGGCTAGGCGGTCCTTTGCTATACACCGGTATGTTTTGGAGGTCTCTTGGGGGCCGTTTGGGCTGCTCGTAGGGTCTCTTTGGGGCCTCTTTGGGGCCTCGTGGGGCATCTAAGGGGCCTCTGGGGGGCCTCTTGGGCTCTGTTGGGGGCCTCTTGGGGCATCCTGGAGGCCTCTTGGGGCAGAAGGCTCGACTTGTCACTTCGTGTTCCCCCTCTTGGGCCCGTCTTGGGGCCGTCTTGGGGCCCTCTTGGGCGATCTTGGGCGCCTCGTGGTCCGTCTTGGGGCGCTCTTGGGCCGTCTTGGGGTTCTCTTGCGCCGTCTTGGCGCCCTATTTGTGTCCCTCGTGGGCCGTGTTGAACTGATTTCTGGGGTCTCGTGGGCTGTCTTGGACCGTCGGAAGCACGAAACAGCGAGAACACGAAAAACCTTCAAAAACCATAGAAAAAACACTTCGTTCGCCTCCTGTGTGCCTCGTGGGAGTCCTCGTGAGAGTATCTTGGCCGTCTTGAAGCCCTCTTGGGTTGTCGTCAAGCCATGTTGGACCAATGTTGAAACGCTCTTGTGCGGTCTTGGGCTATCTTGGAGCGCTCTTGGGCCATCTTGGCGCCCTCTTGGACGTCTCTCGGCCCCCTTTTCACCCTTTGACATGTTTTCGCGCCCCCCGTTGGGCCAGAAACGGCCGGAAGATAAATCAGTGCACTTTGGGGGTCCGCAACACCCTACCCATATGCGTATCTATATATATATATATATATATATATACATATATATATATATACATATACTAGAACCATCGCGCGCGCTTCGTGCGCGCTGCGGTTCTCGCAGGCCCCAGGCCTTGACGAATTCACTGCTCCACTGAAGTAGTGGACCACAGTCCACGCATGCCAACCCGCATTCCGAAAGGTTTCGGTGAAAATGGTTGCGTAGGGGGGCGGAGGCCGGATGAATCGGGCTCCCAGAAGGCCTTCTGGGAGCATGGATTTGGGGGGCGTCTTGGGGAGCCTGTTGGGGCGTGCAG